GCTGTTGGGGTGTTTGTTTGTTTGTTTGTTTGTTTTTGATATTGTCACTCACCTTGAATGATGGAGTATTTGTCGTCATAACTTCCGGCTAAGCTGGTGAATTCCAACTTGTAGGGTTCGGTCGTATATTGGATCCCGTCTACAAATACATTTGACCAAAATACTTTTTTTTTCCAAACAATTTGAAGTATACTGAATTCAACGAATAAAAAAAAAGGTTAGTTTTGTTATTTTCATTACAATATGACTTTTTAATTCAAATGTATTTCTATATATTTAAATGAGCACTGATTGAGCTAATTGGTTACCGTTTATCATCAATTCAAACGTAAATAGCGGAAAAACACTTTTATCAAAGTGAAAACTTCCACAGTCTATGCTCAGAACGGAAGTTATCTAACTACAACAGATTACAAATTCCAAAGGTAATCTGTATATAGCCTACATAGACGTATCCTCTGATTGCGTAATACTTACAGGCCACAGACACTTATTGTAATTGATGTGAAATATTTAACACCTGCAGTTATATCCATAAACTCATACATAATTATTTTGCATTTTTGTAAAATGCAAAGGTCGTACTTGTTTTGTGCGAATGAATGGGTAGGCCTACATACGTCCCTTTTTTCAAAATTGTCAGTTTCTTTTCCGAACGAGATTTTAAGGAAGATAATGGTCTGTAACAAAATGCATTCGCTTGTTCGTTTTTGCAGGCCATTTACAGTTTTAAAAAGTGGTTTGAAAAGGGGTTCTCCAGTTCAGAAAGTTTTGAGCGAATGATGCTATAACCATTCATATGTAGTGACGTATCAGCTCATACATTATGTATGTTAATTTTGGAATCACACGTTTTGTATTCCGGCGCCTGGTACTACAAGATGATCGCCGGGCCGGCTCGCGACACTGCTTTGCGATCATAGTAAACCGCGCAGTCAGGCCGACCTGGCTGCACCACACTCCTACTATACGTTCTATCAGAATCCCTGCTACTTATGCATGCTTTCCTCTCACTCGATCGCAAACCTGTGGTTTTCAAGTCTTGTTTTACGCCGGTGTGACAGGTAATTCTGTCCCCCCTGATAAATGTGTCCCCCCGGACGCATTTACCGGCTCGTGACCCGGTAAATGTGTCCGGGGGACACTTTTACCTAGGTCAATTTGTCCCCCTCCAGGTAAAAATGTCCCCCTGCCCAACGCTGAAAGTGTCCCCCTGGTAAATGTGTCCCCATGCAGTATATACTGAGAGCAGCATGAGTGTTGCGTGCGAGCCAGTACAAGCCGCGAGATATGTGGCAGTGGTTATCACATGTGTACATGTACATATGCGTCTCCCTCTACAAGTGGAATTCATCCAATAGGAAATTTCGGTACGAGCTATGATGGGAACACAGACCAATCTAAGTAGGCGTTGTATGAATGAGTCGAGGGCCATCGCCATGCATCGCCGCTGTATTGAACTATCGCGGTAGAATCGCGATAGATTTCACCGTACTCCAAATCGAAACATTTTGTTCACAGATCATCTAATAGTAATAGACCAAATAAAAAAAAATTATATTCATGAAGGGCTGACTAATAATCCAAAATGTATACCTTGTAGAGTGAATTCATAAAAACAATTAAGAGATCTGGCTTTCCTGGTTTCAAAAGAGGGGGACAGAATTGCCTGGAGGGGGGCAGAATTAACGGGCCAGGGAGGACACTTTTACCTAGGTAATTCTTTCCCCCCGGACAGTTTTACCGTGGACAGAATTACCTTTCACACCGGTACGACACTGTGTATACGTACTGTGTATACATCCACACACAGGTGTGTATTTACCTGCAATCTTGAACCCCCTTTTGTCCCTCTTTTGTTTGTAGGAAGACATCACATAATGATGGTTTGCACACGATCGTCAATTGTGGACCTTCGGGAATTGTGTACCCTATTGTCCTCTATTGTTCAGCGTTCCCTATTGACTGCAGAAACAAACTTTTGGAAAAGGGATGGCACTATCCCATTCAGTGACACTTCTTCTCTGGTGACTTGTATGGCTTAGTATGGGTTGTAAGCATGACTGAGTCTTTGCCGGTTATGTCCGAGTGAAATGTAGAGTGGGCGGACATAAGAGATTAAGTGACTATGATAGGTTGGGTAATCAAATGTGATTAAAGGTGCGAGCAGAGGATTATGTTCGCAAATCCTCTTGTTAGCAATAGCATGCTTTCGTGCCTTGCTGTTGGGCACTCTTCAGTTGCAAATAGGTGATTCAAAAAAGAATCGAGGCTGACTCGCGGAAAAGTTGTGGTTGGGATTGGTTGTATTCCAATCATGTATCGTAAGTTTGAAGTGGTTACAACCATGTGACTTTAGTTGGTTTCAACTTGTTCCTCTAGTGAGGAGAGCAATCGGGTTCGGTTAGTTTTTTGGAAGAGCCGGAGTAGGTCGGGAGTGGGTTTAACTCTTGATTTTGTTTGGGTAGTTACTCCCGGATATGATTTAAGGCTTTTCTGAAGGCAACGAATTATGATTCGGGAAATGTTTCCGCACAGTAGTTTGTTGCCTTGGATTATGTTCCAGTGATGGTTGTTTATTGCTCGATTTAAGTGACGGTGTGTTATGGTTGGGTTGTATGTCGTGGTGAAGACAGGTGGAGTTTGTTTTGATTTTTCTTCATCCTAAGATTGTATGTGTTAAACCTGTGGGCAAGTTGAAAATTAGTTTCTCAGTACTTCAAGTACATCCACAGACTTGTAACAATCAGTCTGCCACACACGAGACACAATATCTCACGTTCCACCACATGTACACTTCATTTCGGAAAACCAACAACTATATTTCCGCTTACGGAAAACATGACCTTGACTTGTTATAACAACATAAAAACGCTATGCTAGCAGAAGCATAAGCACTTGATAAATGGACATACAAATTATCCGCAGACGGATAAACTATACCCATTTTACACCAAACAACACAAAACAAGACAAAAACCCACAAACTTAACCCCAAAACAAAGGGTTCAAAACAGTATTGGCCTCCCCAAAAAAATCATAAATCAATCTCAACATTGAATGGTACAAACAAAATAAACAACCCACATTTGGGAAAGAAAAAGTACCATCTCCACATAAATATGCATTCGTATTAACAAAATAAAGAAACAAAACAACGAAACACAACGTGTTTTTCCGATACCGCACACGGTAGGAAGATAGTTTCTTACTCAAACAACTACCAAATGAAAGAGATTAACAATATCTAAAAGCCTACACAAGTTTCAACTATTTTCTGACAAAGAAAATAATCAAAATACGGCTTTTAAAACTAAAAACAAACACACTACTGGCCAGAAATTCCACTACGAATCCAAAACCCTCGCAAGGTTTTCCGCGCCACTGCACCCACACGCCCATTGGACAATACAGTGACCAATCACAACACACATATGGTACCATTCACTACCGCCACGGCTCAATGCGCCATCTCACGCACGCAATACGTGCATACAAACCCTGAGAGAAAACCAACGAACCATCACTTCTCGGTCTCTTACTAACACAACCTTCTCAAAAGAGAAATATCCATCATTCTGCCATTGTTATAATAAATAAATTGGAATATAACCCACCCCATCTTACCTTATTCGTTATATTCAAACCACAAACTCCTCAACTACCATGGCAAGAAGGAAACTCAACCAGGAAACCAAGAGATCAATACATCAACTGAAGTCTAACCACTTCTCTCACAAATGCAATCGTAAACCAAACGAGCCAACTCCAATCATTTGCGCTCATTAGCAGAACAAAATATCAATCCTTCATAACCATTCTATCCAAAGCAAAACCATCGCAAACCGAAATATTTGCTTGTTGGACAAGGCCTCAACATCTTACCTACTTCTGCTAAACCAAACCGCAATCACTCGTAAGCAGCATCAATAATTATTTGGAGTGAAGACTACAATTTACATTAATAATGCGTAACATACGCTCTATAAACCATCCTTTCAACCACCAATTGGCATCCGAAATCATATTCTAGTGAAACGCTAGAAAATACCCGGAAGCCACTAATTTTAAACTTGCCCACAGGTTTAACACATACAATCTTAGGATGAAGAAAAATTAAAACAAACTCCACCTGTCTTCACCACGACATACAACCCAACCATAACACACCGTCACTTAAATCGAGCAATAAACAACCATCACTGGAACATAATCCAAGGCAACAAACTACTGTGCGGAAACATTTCCCGAATCATAATTCGTTGCCTTCAGAAAAGCCTTAAATCATATCCGGGAGTAACTACCCAAACAAAATCAAGAGTTAAACCCACTCCCGACCTACTCCGGCTCTTCCAAAAAACTAACCGAACCCGATTGCTCTCCTCACTAGAGGAACAAGTTGAAACCAACTAAAGTCACATGGTTGTAACCACAACACTTCAAACTTACGATACATGATTGGAATACAACCAATCCCAACCACAACTTTTCCGCGAGTCAGCCTCGATTCTTTTTTGAATCACCTATTTGCAACTGAAGAGTGCCCAACAGCAAGGCACGAAAGCATGCTATTGCTAACAAGAGGATTTGCGAACATAATCCTCTGCTCGCACCTTTAATCACATTTGATTACCCAACCTATCCTAGTCACTTAATCTCTTATGTCCGCCCACTCTACATTTCACTCGGACATAACCGGCAAAGACTCAGTCATGCTTACAACCCATACTAAGCCATACAAGTCACCAGAGAAGAAGTGTCACTGAATGGGATAGTGCCATCCCTTTTCCAAACTCAAACAATTTTATTTTACCATTCTTAACCAAATTCTCACCATATAATTCAAACATCAAGTAAAACCTCAGGATACCAATACATTGCATCACTTTACTACTTAATTTAAATTTCAAATTGTGGTAATCGGAGGTTCAAATACACCAACAAATTCTAAACAGTGTGCAACAATTTGCTAATATTAAATTAAAAAAAATACGACGTTACCCAAATTGTCACAGTAAGAACCCTTTATGTAAATTTAAAGCGAAATTTGAAGTACTTTTGCTTACATTTGTATTTTAATGAATACCATATTCCTTCATATCGTGAAAGGGCTTACAGTTGTCCCGAACGTTTAGGAAAACAACAACAATGGTCCACGATTGTAGACTACACGTAGAGCTTGAGTGTTTGTTTTGCTTTGCTTTTGTGCTTGGGAATAGCTTCAAGTTGCTCCCTGTACTATTTACGAGTTTTACCCACACCAACTCAGATATTTATTTTCAAACTGCTTGTTTTCTTGAAATAGAACAACATTTATTTACTTTTGACTTGCTCATCGAACAAGTATACAACGTCCAGTTATGGAATATTCACAATTCACATTTTGATTCATTTATGGACCGATAATTATTGAGGCATATCCTTTGTGCGTTATTGGCGCAAAAGCAGCCAATAAATACAAATGTATTTTCAGAGCATTAGTTGCATTATAAAAAAACAGAACAAAGTAGCTTTTTTGCGTTTAAACAAAACATAGTTTAAAAAAATAAAGAGACGAAAAATAGAATAAGGTTGATAAACAATTGAAAGTAAGAAATAAAGGAAATCGAAAACCATGCTGGGTTGGTTGGGGTATTGTGGACACTCCACTCTCCTTCAGTGCCGCCACTGATTGCTAAGGCTTACACACTAACACCTGTTGGCCCCTCATCTCCTTGTCTCCATAGTTAACGTGCAGTGAAGTCACAGCGATGGGTGAGGCACAGGTCTCTGGCACAACTTCACCGGAAGGGAAGCGAGTATCCAGGCATATGACAAGCTTCCTGTCTCTCATGGGAGAATACTCCATTTGGAGCTCCGAGCATAGTCGGAATGTCTGGTTCGGATCGTCTGCGAATCGCAACAAGACCAACAACAACAACAAATTTTTGGGGGAAGAAAACATCTTCTACTAAACCTTTTCTCAGGAATGCCCCTTATTTGCTGGTGTATGTAATAGAGTACCGAATTGTGACGTCATTTAGAACCAGAAAGTTTAGCGCAAAGGTATGGAGTACGCGCGCCTGATTCAGCACGGACATGCGCTAATGTCTTTTACACACATAATTGTGCGCGTGATGTACTCACTTCGTACTCTATAGATCCTGGCACTAGCAAAAACTAGTCTGTGTAATAGAAAGCCATGGTCTATGATATGTGAGCAGATTCGCTGATTAGTTTGGCAAAACCCCGCCTCTTAACCTGTTTGATTTTGATATATATCGGGTCTTTGGTCATTCACTCGTTGCGCGTCAAAGACAATGGATAAAAAACCTGTGTCATGCGCTCTGTATCATGTTATACGCGATATGCCCCGGCTGTTGTTGTTTTACAAAACACTGCATGGAATTAACTAATTAATCAAACCATTTAGTCCTGATTTGGGAATGAAATGACATCACAATTTAGTAAAGTCGACTCCGATAAACTGGCGTGCGGCTTGCATATATCTGAATGTCTAGACAATTCAGACCTGATACAGGACTTGGCTCCGTGGATAACGGGTGATTCTCATACTAGGCAAAGCCGACCATGGTCTATGCAACTATAGACTGCGTATGACCTCGAGAAACTGACCAATCAGCAGGCGCGTAATTTGAGCTCCCCGCGTGCGTAACCATCACGCCCACGATGATTACCTTTTTATTTTTACAGGTTGTTGTATTACAAAACGTGGCATCAAAATTGACCAATCACAATCTTAGTCCTGATTTTGGAATGAAATGACGTCACGCATGCTTAGATATATCAGACGTTAGACAGGAGACTGGGCTCCGTAGATAACGGGTGATACTCAGACTACTTATTTTGATGCGCATTAGACAACCCATGTTCTGCCCCTAACATTTCACAAACTATGGCATCTTTGATAATTATAAAAATACCCATGGGTGAGATTTGCTTACTGTTTCTTTTGACACCTGTGTTGAAAAAAAAATGAGAAATGAAACAAAGATTGAACAAGAGCCCTGGGTCACAGTTTTCCATTCAAGATTGATTGAAACTACCTCACCCGTATATCTTGGAATTGTGTGTGATTCAAAACTCCCTTAAAGAAGTCACACACGGTTTCAATTCGAGGCCATTGGATGCTTTGTTTATATTACTTAATGGTTTTTAAGACGTTTCGTGTATATAAGACAATCGCACTGAATAGCCGTTTATGGTAAAACATAATATATTTTCCTAGGCGCAGCTGCAAAATATAAATATTTCATCTTACTGATCATTCGGTATATGTTCGTTCGTTTGCAAATCTTGCTCTTTGCAGTTAACCTATGAAATACAATACTAGTTGAACACAATCTTAAAATCTGATACGCCGGCGCTTCGTGCGTTTTGTTTGTTTTGTGGGTGATTTTGTTGGTATTAAAGCTGGGTTGTTTGTGGGGGCTGTTGGGGTGTTTGTTTGTTTGTTTGTTTGTTTTTGATATTGTCACTCACCTTGAATGATGGAGTATTTGTCGTCATAACGTCCGGCTAAGCTGGTGAATTCCAACTTGTAGGGTTCGGTCGTATATTGGATCCCGTCTACAAATACATTTGACCAAAATACTTTTTTTTTCCAAACAATTTGAAGTATACTGAATTCAACGAATAAAAAAAAAGGTTAGTTTTGTTATTTTCATTACAATATGACTTTTTAATTCAAATGTATTTCTATATATTTAAATGAGCACTGATTGAGCTAATTGGTTACCGTTTATCATCAATTCAAACGTAAATAGCGGAAAAACACTTTTATCAAAGTGAAAACTTCCACAGTCTATGCTCAGAACGGAAGTTATCTAACTACAACAGATTACAAATTCCAAAGGTAATCTGTATATAGCCTACATAGACGTATCCTCTGATTGCGTAATACTTACAGGCCACAGACACTTATTGTAATTGATGTGAAATATTTAACACCTGCAGTTATATCCATAAACTCATACATAATTATTTTGCATTTTTGTAAAATGCAAAGGTCGTACTTGTTTTGTGCGAATGAATGGGTAGGCCTACATACGTCCCTTTTTTCAAAATTGTCAGTTTCTTTTCCGAACGAGATTTTAAGGAAGATAATGGTCTGTAACAAAATGCATTCGCTTGTTCGTTTTTGCAGGCCATTTACAGTTTTAAAAAGTGGTTTGAAAAGGGGTTCTCCAGTTCAGAAAGTTTTGAGCGAATGATGCTATAACCATTCATATGTAGTGACGTATCAGCTCATACATTATGTATGTTAATTTTGGAATCACACGTTTTGTATTCCGGCGCCTGGTACTACAAGATGATCGCCGGGCCGGCTCGCGACACTGCTTTGCGATCATAGTAAACCGCGCAGTCAGGCCGACCTGGCTGCACCACACTCCTACTATACGTTCTATCAGAATCCCTGCTACTTATGCATGCTTTCCTCTCACTCGATCGCAAACCTGTGGTTTTCAAGTCTTGTTTTACGCCGGTGTGACAGGTAATTCTGTCCCCCCTGATAAATGTGTCCCCCCGGACGCATTTACCGGCTCGTGACCCGGTAAATGTGTCCGGGGGACACTTTTACCTAGGTCAATTTGTCCCCCTCCAGGTAAAAATGTCCCCCTGCCCAACGCTGAAAGTGTCCCCCTGGTAAATGTGTCCCCATGCAGTATATACTGAGAGCAGCATGAGTGTTGCGTGCGAGCCAGTACAAGCCGCGAGATATGTGGCAGTGGTTATCACATGTGTACATGTACATATGCGTCTCCCTCTACAAGTGGAATTCATCCAATAGGAAATTTCGTTACGCGCTATGATGGGAACACAGACCAATCCAAGTAGGCGTTGTATGAATGAGACGAGGGCCATCGCCATGCATCGCCGCTGTATTGAGCTATCGCGGTAGAATCGCGATAGATTTCACCGTACTCCAAATCGAAACATTTTGTTCACATATCATCTAATAGTAATAGACCAAATAAAAAAAAAAAAATTATATTCATGAAGGGCAGACTAATAGTCCAAAATGTATACCTTGTAGAGTGAATTCATAAAACAATTAAGAGATCTGGCTTTCCGGGTTTTAAAAGAGGGGGACAGAATTGCCTGGAGGGGGGCAGAATTAACGGACCAGGGAGGACACTTTACCTAGGTAATTCTTTCCCCCCGGACAGTTTTACCGTGGACAGAATTACCTTCCACACCGGTACGACACTGTGTATACGTACTGTGTATACATCCACACACAGGTGTGTATTTACCTGCAATCTTGAACCCCCTTTTGTCCCTCTTTTGTTTGTAGGAAGACATCACATAATAATGGTTTGCACACGATCGTCAATTGTGGACCTTCGGGAATTGTGTACCATATTGTCGTCTATTGTTCAGCGTTCCTATTGACTGCAGAAACAAACTCGTTTTTACTTTAGGCCAAAAAAAAAGTCTCCGGTTTCTGGTATGGAGCTTGCCCAAAAAGTGGTGCGGCGACGCGGCTTTTTTTTTTATTTACCTGATTTTGTTGCTTCAAATGTCGGCTGATGACTGCAAATATATGGGAGTTCAGAGAGGCCACATAAAGCTTATTCTCGACCATAACCCAATCTAAAAACACGTTAATATTGTCCAACCAGCAGGATTCCAGTCCAACCAGTGAGTTTGGCGGTTTTGAGACATCATCTTTCATTGAAAAAAAAAAAACTTTTTCATTTTGCCGACGCGCATGGCGGGACGCTCCTAATTCAAAAGTTAACACAATTGAATACTTGTTGTGGGTTCTTTTTTTCGTTCGACGTCTCATTTGAAAGCTCATTACTATTGTAAAGCTAGAAAAAATGTCGATTCAATTTGAAATATCTATTGTTCCAGGTGTAACACCCCAAAACAGGTATGTACCAGCTTAAATTCTTCGTCAAAATCAGATAATTATTGTATTGTATTCCAGTAATTGATATGCTCTGTCTACCGTTCGACTTGATTGTTCATTTCTTTGGATATGCTTTCACATTAAATTGTTTATTTTCACATGTTCTGCGTGTGATTTTCCTTATGGATTCAAAGTGGCATTAACGTTTGTATCTGGGGATTTTTTGTATCTGGCAAAAATGTAAGCCTGCGTAAATGTATAATAAAATAAAACATACGTAAATAAGCTTTTCCGTCATGACCATGCGCAGTGTAGCAAAGCTGGCACGTGGTTCCGGCGTCGTTGCATGTCAGGTTCTTCTGATAGAAACCCTGTTTTGTTCAGAAATAAATACGACGATAGTGTTATTGCAATGAGGCGTAGATCCTACGTTTTCCCACTTTACAAAAGATTGTGGGTAAGTCACAGACATTTTGCTGTACCCAGAGACGAGCCTTGCCTCAATGACTAACTGACTGACCGACTGAGTACAACTGTCACTTGTGAATTGAACAGTCTGGCCCAGCTTTCCAAAGTGTTATTCATACGTCACTGGTAAGCATTTTGAACAAGGATAAAATGAGAGGTTTTCGGACAAGGAAAATCCATTTGAAAGTTTAGACGATGTGCGTGTGTTTTCAATAGCGACTAAAATTCCAATCATTTCAGGAGTGTAATTTATTAATTTTATAAACTACCTTGTCTTTTGACAATATTGTTTCAAGAGTGCAGCTACTGCCTCACTGGTATTAAATTCAGAATATCGACGATTTCACGAATCAAAGTAAAAAGCTCCCACAGTCGTAAAAGAAAACCTCTTTATTTTGCTAATGTTTCCGTCAAAGCGGTCCGGAATAGTGTGACACAAAAGGGTCAATTTTGGCGCAGAAAAGTAAGAAGCCAGATTCTATGTCAACCTGACCAGGGAATCTTTAGTGACGTCACATGCTATCCAAAGTAATGTGACGGAAGCAGTACTTCATCCACTGTTGTTTTAACGGTAGCTGGAATTGTGAAAGAACTTGTGGTGGGATTGACTTGACTTGTGGTGGGCTTGTGTTGGACTCGACCCTAGAATTCTTACCAAGTGTGTGTAGGTAGGATCCTGGCTCCCATTCTTCCAGAAACCACTGACCTCCTGGCTGGTAAGGAACAGAAGAAACAACACTCCCATCGGCATGATGGCAACTGAGGAACCCTAGTCCTGCCCGGAGTAATATGCTTGTACGTGGCTGATCAGCCGCGGAAATAATAATTATATACAGACGAAGGCAACATCTGTTTTGTAAATTTGTAATTTTAATTTTTAATAACAATAATGACCCGCATCTTTTGGCTTAATGAATAGTAACGATGCCTTATTTTGCAGTAGTTACAATATTTGTCCCTCAATAGTCCGCCCATTCCTCGCTGTATAAGATATCTTGAGATATCAATATTTTATAGCAGTATTACATTTACAAGATGAACATAAAACATGTAAATAAAGGTTTATCAATAAATTGGGGTTGGGACATCTCCATTAGCACTCCCGCCGACAAATAAAAGAAATGGGGGTGGGGGTCCCACTCTATCACTGGATAAATACAATGTGTTGGACTCGACTCCAGAATTCTTACCAAGTGTGAGTAGGTAGGATCCTGGCTCCCATTCTTCCAGAATCCACTGACCTATTGGCTGGTAAGGAACAGAAGAAACAACACTCCCAGCAACATGATGGCAACTGAGGAACTCCTGGTCTCACTGAGAGTACATCTGCTTGAACGTTGTTAAGCAGAGACGGAATGTATTAGTTTTACACAGAAAAGGCAACATCTGCTCTGTAAATTTTGATTGTGAACTTTAATGAAATGTAAATGCAATCCGAGCTGCAGGTTTTGCTTAATGAATGCATAATATTAAACTTTATTGCAATTTGTTTGAATACATTAAACAGACAGACGCTCGTCAAAACCTACACAAAAACGATGCATAGTTCTCCAGTGGTTGCAATATTTGTCCCTCAATATGTCTTCCATAGTTCGCCCATTCCTCGCTGTATATGATGTCTTGGGGTATCAATATCTTAGCCGTAGTACACGCTGAAAATAGAATGTGTGGACAATAGGCCATCAGCCTCGGGGTTTGGTCGGTAAAAAATGGGTGTGGATTAAAGTAACTGAATACTTTGGGGTTTGTACATCTCCATTAACGTCCCCCACATAAACTACATGGCGGTGGACCTGCTTCCCCCTGGTATCACCGCACATGTTTAAAACTAGATGGTATATTCTATGGGATTTGTTTTACCAAAGGAAAATGTTGCAGGAAAACAACCAATCGGGAATCACACAAGCGCGACTTGAGGGTTATTGAACAGGGTTGGGAGAGCTTTGGGGAAGCAGAGTACAAAGAAAGTTTTTAGGGCACAAGGGGAAAGACGGGCACGAAAACATAATTTTTTGTCTCCTGTTTAGCCTTATCTAACTGAAAGTTTTCTAAATTTCATATACGCCACGGTAAATTGTATTTTTATTTAACCGTCTACACTCTTTCCCCCTTGTAATATCTCTTTGCACGCGTTCCTTGAACAGTTATGTTAGCGTCGCTTCGTGAAAACGCAATGTCATTGCTAAAAGTCAGCCATTTACATCAATAGTGTAACGAGCGTTGCCCTTCGTCCTCAGCCAGGCCCCTATGGCGTTTTAGCTCCTGCGGTTGTATGCCACAACACTGGGCGACGGTCCAACTTCCAGACCTTGGTAGCGTAAAGCAGACTTGGAAAGTGCACCAGTGGAACTTTATTAGGGGGGTTGGGTGCAATACTGGTGGGTTGGGTGGATTACCTTCTGGATTTGGTGGATTACTTGTGGATTGGGTGGAATACTGGTGGATTGGGTGGATTACTGGTGGATGGGGTGGATTACTGGTGGATTGGGTGGATTACCGGTGGATTGGGTGGATTGCTGGTGGATTGGGTGGATTACCGGTGGATTGGGTGGATTGCTGGTGGATTGGGTGGATTCAGTGGATGACCCGGCTGGTATAACAATTGATTGGACACGGGATACTGATTTGACTTCTCATTGGTCTCACTCCATCATAAGTCGAAGGAAAAGAAGAAGTGAGGTTTATTAGATCCTGCTCTTCCTTTTATACAGTCCTGATCATATGTCAGTCATAATATCTACATGTACAAACAGTGTATGGCATTAGCAAGTGCACAAAACCCATTAACCAATCAGAATCCAGTATTCCCACAGAGTGACTTAGAACCCGCCCCTTACACAATACAAGCCAATCAGAATCCACTGCTCATATGTGAGTGACTTAGAATGACTATTTGATCCTACAATGCACGTGTGGCACATGTAACTTATTTATTTAAAGTTAATAAATGGCACATCACATGACCTCCCCCCAGAGTTTTCAGTCCCTGAAATAGTCCACTCTGAAGTATTAAATAATTAAATAACTAATTATCGTTTCCACCCCATTCTAAACTCATACAAACAAAGATATTTCACAGCCATATCTTTTATGCAGTAGGTCTCATAACTTCTCAGCTAAAAAATCTTACATGCAGTTCTAAATTATAATTACAAAACGTGGCAGTAACTCTAGCATAAAACACTTTAAACTATACATCCGTGTAATTCTAACTAGTTTTCATCACACATGTCTTTGACAAGAATTACATAATTTAGCTTAACATTTACCAGATGCTGATTTCCACTCTTAATCATATCCTTCCTAATTTTCTCGGTTTGAAGCAATAAACTTTAAATACGAAACTATTACGCAACTCTTTAACTTTAACTTTATATAAATTATAACAACATGAACATCAACATTTTTCTTGCAATAACACTTAAGGGCAAGTTTTTTTTTTCTATCTCTCTCTTAATCCTAATCTTGACATTTTTGTTGAAACTGGTTTGCAGGAAATTATAAAAATAACTGATGATTTATCTATAATTTTAGGAAATTATAAAAATAATTGATGACTTCTATAATTTTAGGAAATTATAAAAATAATTTAAATTGAAGTTTACAAGTTAAATTCTTGTACTGCTTGTTCCTGGTGGTGCAGGATGGTTCCCTTGTAGACCCGGATTGTTGTCGTTACTTCTAGTCGATCTCCCACCTCCTCGCTCTCGGTGGATGAACTGACTGGGGCCATTTCTGCCTGCAACCGTCTAAGGAGTTTAATAGACTTTCCTCCTGTCTTGGGGTGACCGGTTGAAGTTGATGGGGGTGTGGGGGGTGTACCAGGTGGAAGAAGTTCCACTTGTGGCTCGGGTGGCATAGGGGTGTCGGCGAGTTCCACAGTTGGAGGAGCCGCTGCGGTGGATGCCAGGGGGCCAGTCGGGGCTGGTATTTGCATTCCCGGTTGGCAGTGGCTGCGTCTTTCGGCATGCCGATGGAGGCTGGCTTTTCGGGTAAACTCCTCTGAGCAGGTTTCGCATGTGAGTTTGGACGCCTTCTGGGGATGGGTCTCCTTAGTATGCCTGGCAAGGTTGGTCTTTAGAGAAAACTTCCTGCAGCACTCGGGGAATGGACACACGTACCTCTTGGCTGTGGACCTTGATGAAGACTGGTGTTGGTGCTGCTCGGCATGTTTATGGCTGCTTGGTGTTGAAGTTTTACCCAGGGGACGATGAGGTTGCTGCTCCCTCCCATGATGATCGGGCTGGGGATGGCTGGAAGTAGTAGGCCTACTACTTGTAGTTGCACCGCTAGTGCTACCCTGCTCCTTCCTTTGCTTCTTGAGGGACCCGCTCCCCTGCCGTCGCTCCCGCTTTTCCTGCTTTTTGTTGCCGTCATCTGCTCGTGGTTTGTCATTATCACGGCGATCACGACCATGATGACCACCACCACCATGACCACCTCGCATGGTGAATCTTGGATACAGTCCACTAGGGCTCCACAAAAATCCCCTTAATAAAGTTATGCGGTGGATCACGCACGTCCCCCGGTGGATCACGTTGGTTGCGGTGGATCACGTTGGTTACGGTGGATCAGACACGGCGGCCCGGTGGATCACTTCGGTTGCGGTGGATCAAATCAGACTGAAGTATGTGTACGTGCGATGCGATATTGTGGCGAGTTCAACTAAGGAATGACGACAGTGTACGCGCGTGCGTACACGTACACGTACGTTATCACTATGCAGCGAAGCGGTGCCCGCAAAAGTCACCGTTGTGTAGCTCTTTGCCTACCGGATACCAATTAAAAGTTTTCTGCCCTTTCTTGCATTGCCGCGTGGTGGCGCCCTTGTTTAATTATTTCGGAGATTTCTTCAATTTTTATCTTTCGAGGATTAAACTTCGTAATCCTGTAGTCTAGTGGGACGTCTTCTCTGCCGTCGGGGATATCGATGTTTTCGCGGCTGGGGGCTTGTAGAATCTTGTTCCTTCTCTTCCAAGGCCACTGTGAAGTTTTTACCCATGCTCTCTTCTGCTATGCCCGGTGGTTCTGCCTCCGGATCCGCTGTCGGAAATTCGTCGGCACTTGATGCAAGGTGAGTTTCGTCATCCCGGAATTCACCGGCTTCCACATTAAACTCATTCAGTGGATTATCTGCTGAACTCGAGTCCACCGCAGTATTTGGCAACGATTGATCCTGCACATCCTCCAGTTCCACAGGGCTGCTGGTTCTTGATCCCACTCGCCATGTTCTCCTTTCGGGGCCGGTGTAAACCTTCAGTTTGTCATAGTGCACAACCTTCATCTTGGATCTTGGTGTTTCTTGTACTCGAAAAGTCACATCAGACAGCTGGTCCACTACCAGATACGGTCCCAGCCACTTAAACTGAAGCTTAGGTGACAGCCCTTTTTTTCGTGCAGTGTTGTGTAACCACACGAACATACCCGCTCTTATTTTGTTGCCCGCCACATGGCGATCATAGTTGCGCTTCTGTCGCCGAAGATTCGCCTTCATGCTACTTCGAGCCTTCTTGTGTGCCTTGCTCATCTTTTCACGCAGGTTTCTGGCGTAATCCGTTGACAACTGGTCTTCACAATTGTCTGGCAGCTCCGTGAGGGCATCCAGGGGTAGAGGTATCTCCCGTCCCATCAGCATGAAACACGGTGACTCTTCCGTGCTTGCTTGTGCCGCACTTCGGTAGGCCATCATAGAGTATGCCAAGTTAGCATCCCAGTCCTTCTGACCCGGCTCCACAAACGGAGCAACAAGGTTGATCAAACTCCGGTTGAATCGCTCGATGAACCCATCTGACTTGGGGTTCCATGGGCAGGTACGTGTCTGGTCGATTCCCAGCAGTCTACAAACTTCCCTAAACACCGCCGACTGGAAATTGGTGCCTTGATCACTGTGAATTTCCTTCGGGCAACCATATCTGCAGATAAACTGCTCCACCAGTGTTTCTGCTACCGTAGTTGCCTTCTGGTCCGGAAGTGCATACGCCTCAATCCACTTTGTAAATGGATCGCCAACTACGAGTACATAGGCCATACCCCGGTCACTTCTTGGAAGAGGGCCCATGATATCCAAAGCAATCCTCTCCATTGGCGCCCCAACCACGTACTGCTGAAGTGGAGCTCGTGGCTTCTTCCCCGGTGACTTTCTTCGAGCGCAGACTGTGCATTGCCGGATCTTGGTCCGCACGTCAGCTGACATCCCTGTCCAATAGTACTTCCGCCGGATTTTGTGCAGTGTCTTGTGCACCCCCTGGTGACGTGCTGTCTTGCTGTCGTGGAGTTCCTCCAGAACTTCATCCTGCAAGCTTCCTGGCAAAACCACCTGCCATCTGCCGTGCCT